GAGAAGGTGTGCCTACCTACCGTGCAGGTCCCCTGGGACGGAGTTGGACGAATGATCCTGGCAGCTTTGAACAAGATGGGGACGAGCCCTTTATACGCCCAGGAAAGACCCGGGTCATGTGACCCTCCCCTCTCATCAGGAGGCCCGCCATCCATGAGTGGCAGGTGGGCTGCCTCCGAGGGGCTTGGCAGGTGCAGCTCCAGAGAGGCCGCCCCTGAGCCTCAGGGAGCACCGGGCTCTCATTAGAGAACAAAGGCTCCCTGTTCCGCACCCCCCACACCTCAAAGGCCCGGAGGCCGGGATTATGCCTCGGGGTCCGCAGGGGACTCTGGGGGATGAGAGATGGGTGACCTGGTGGGTGAGAGACGGTGAAAGTCCTGGCTCTCCCCTGAGGAAGAGGCCGGCTTTGTTGGTCTAATCCTTCAGCAAGATCTCGATGATTCTTACACATTCCTGGCTGGGAACGTGATGCCTCGCTCCTTCGGGGATTTTCTCCTAAGCTATGGAGCAGGGCAGGAGGGGGCTTTGTACCCAGGCTTCCTGGGGGCCGTGCCAGGCTTGGTCTCGGATTACCTGTGGGCCATGGAGCTCCCTGCTCAGGCTCGGCTCCTGAGTCCACCCTATGGGGACAGTCCCACTAGGATGGAGAGTGAGGTGAGCCGGGCGAAGTGTGGGGGCCGCAGTGGGCTCCTTACCTTCATGGCCCTCGAGAATGAGTCATTCCCCGAGTTTAACAAGGAGAGCGCACCTGTAGCGAGTGCTCATCACATCCCACAATCAGGTGTGTCCACAGGAGTCTGGCCCTGCCATCCGCCCCCACCCCCCAGCAGGTGCAGCATCAGCTCCATCACACAGACAGGACGAATGGTGACCTCCAGGTCGAGGCGTCTGTCCGGGCCCACATGACGGGACACTCTGGGCTTGAGAGTTAGCCTGGCTGCGACCCTCAGCTGCTCAGTCTCCCGGCCTCCTGGGGACCCAGGGCGGGGGGGGGGGGGGGGGGGGGGGGGGCGGGAGTAGAGCCTTTCGAGCCCCTGAACGGTTTCTTTGAAGAATTCGTTGTCCCTCAACCTCACCACTCCCGACACTTGGGGCCAAATGGGTTTTGCTGTGGGGCGTTGGCCTTTCTCTTCTCTGGGGGTGGAACAGGGTGAGAGTAAAGGTGCTACAAGGACTCAGGCACGGAGGGAAAGGCTGCACCATGACAGCGCCCGGCTTCTCACGCACAGGAAGCCACAGCACGGCGCACCGTGCAGACACAGGCGGGCACGTGCACACACACTCGGGGACTCACACAGGGACTGAGAAACACACCTCCCTCCTGCTCCCCCCCCCCTAAAAAAGAAGGATCTCTTACCCTTTGAGACAGCATAGAGCAGTGGTTCTCAGCCTTGGCTGCACATTAGAATCACCTGGGAATCTTTTTAAAATCCTGATTTCTGGGCCTCATCCTCCGGAAATTCTGTTTCTTTGTTATGGGGTGGGGCCACAACATTAGTAACAAAGAAACAGAATTTCTGGAGGATGAGGCTCAGAAATCAGGATTTTAAAAAGATTCCCAGGTGATTCTAATGTGCAGCCAAGGCTGAGAACCACTGCCTTAACACCTCTCCCCCCCCATCTCCCTGCTCCCTCTTCCCCACCCCTTCCTCCCCCTCCTCTTTCTCTAGCTAATTTGGCTCTTCTTTGGGGCAAGAATGAAAGGGACAGAAAAGCACCTGCGCCTCTGTCTCCGGGAAGAATCCCGTTTAATGATGTCACATGTGTAACTGCCAAGTCTCCTTCGACAGCAGGACAATACCCGCCCGTCTCGGTTACCGCATCAGTGAGGGCTGTGGCCACAGACACACAGCACCCCGAGACCTCCTTGCTCTCGCATCCCCCAATCAGAACGCATTCAGCTCAGGGCGGGGCACCTCCCCCTTAAACTCTGGGAGACCGGGGGCTCCAGGCTCGGAATTAATTGCTGCAAAGCATCATGGAAGTGTCCGGAGCGGAGTGACCAGGTTTCTGTGACCTTGGGCAGTAGGAGGGCTGGTGGGACTGCATC